TCATCGAAAAACTGTGCGAACTCATTACACCTAGATTTAGAGGAAAATTCTAGGGGCAACTTTACAGGGGGGTTCGTTAATCTACCAACTGTTGAAAACATAACACGAAAATTGTTACTGCAACCTCCAATAATGTCAGAAAAATACATTTCTCTTGTTCTACGTAGAACCCGGTTAAATTCACCCAACTCATCTTTAAAGATTTCATAATCGCCCTGGAAATTGGACTTTCGCCACTTCCGTTCGGCCCTCCGGCACTCTTGCTTCTGTGCCCTAACCGAGTCTGCCTTAGTCCATGGGGCCTTTTTCTTACTGGTAACTATTTTAACCGTCACAGGAGCAATGGCGTCCAGAACAGTCAGAACACTGGTGGTGACAGAGTTATACAATTCATCAACAGTAGAGCATGGAGTTTTCTCAAAATTTAGCATTCCCATGAACAGTTCACTTGTGTTTTCATGTATGTGTCTTCTTCTAACAGTTGTAAATTCAGCTGGTGGTTTGCTAGCAAAACACATGTCAAAAAATACACAGAAATGATCTGACAAAGCAACATCAACTACATTAACATTTGATACATTAACCCCCTTTGTAATTAGCAGGTCAAGAGTGTGCCCCCTGCTGTGGGTGGGGCCACTCACGTGCTGAATGAAACCAAAGGTCTCAAATACAGAAGCCAGCTCCTTTGCATTTCTGTCATCAACATTATCAACATGTACATTAAAATCACCTGTAATAACTAAACTATCAAAATCTGTGCACACGAATGAAAGTAGTTCAGTAAAATGGTCAATAAAATCGCAACATGACTGTGGTGGCCTGTACAGGACAATGAAAAGAGTAGAAGATTGCTTTTGTTCCATTTTAAAAGAAATATACTCAAACGATGAAAAATTTCCAAGGGGCATTCTATGGGAGACAAAGTGCTCTCTAAAAAACTGCAGCTATGCCTCCCCCCCTTTTGTTTTCTCGTATTTCGGATTCGAATTTAAAATTGGGTGGTGTTGCTTCTATTAGAACTGCATTTCCTGTATTTTGGTCCAGCCATGTTTCAGCCATAAGCATAAAATCAAGATCATAAGAAGTGATAAAATTATTAATTAAAAATGATTTGTTACATAGAGATCTGACATTAAGCATAGCAAGTTTAAAAATAACGTCAGAGTCGATTAATGTGGTTGATTGATTTCTACAGGGAACAGAAATTAGATTTGCAGGGTTGGACCGTCTAACTGCTGTCCTGTTTTGATTTCGTTTTTTAGAATTTAAAAACATTTTTGAGCTGGTGCGAGGAACACACACAGTCTCAATTGGCCTAAAATGTGAAAACCCTTGTTGTTCTTTAGCTCCCAGAGTCAGAAGGGAGTCAGCACAGTTCAGTGTTTGGACTGGTAATGCACTGCCAGACGGACAGGGAGCAGTGTTTGCACCGTTGTACTCACCCGGTGCTGGTGAGCAGGAGGCGGGGGAGTGCGGTGGGGTCCGAGGGGGCTCAGATGTAAACAGTCACGCCCCCCTCGGGGAGCACTGAACAACATAACGTATGTAATCCATCAACAGGCTGCTACCGTATCTGTTTGGGTGTAATCCGTCTGGACGATAGGCTTCGTAACGTTTCCAGAAAAGGGCAAAGTTATTCACAAAGACAAAGTTAAAAGAGCTGCATGTAGCCTGGAGCCACATATGCAGCGCCACAACACGACTGTAGAGGCAGTCACCTCTGTTTACAGTCTGGATTGGACCAGAAATAAAAACAGATAGCCGGAGGATTGAAGGAGGTGGAACAGATCCATAAAATGTTTCTTCGTGACTTCTGACTGCTGAAGTTTCATGTCGTTAATTCCCACATGCACGACTACCTTGGAAACGGTATCAGGCAGGGACTGAAGCAGAGGAGGGAGACGTATGAGCAGGTCTGGTACAGTAGCTCCGGGAATACAGCGAGTGACCGCGTTAAAGAAGCGGACGTGTCTCACGATGGAATCTCCAATAATCAGAGTGGTCGGGGCGAAGAGTGGCCTCGGAGAAGGAGCTCGGTGGACGGAACCAGCGGGTTCACCCGAAGCAGGACCGGAGCCTGAGCGCCGCTGAACACATGGAGAGGAGGAGCGGGGGTGCTGACTCTCAGCTACAGGCGACCCACGCTGTGTGCTCGGGGACGCTGGAGCGGTGAGAGGGGCTGGCTCTGGGCGCTGCTGCTGACCCGGTGGAGGTGAGCGGTGGTGATGATGGCTCGCTACCCCAGTCTGAGGCTGCTGCACTGGGGTCAAAGAAGGGGAACAGGCCAACATGGCTGGTGGACCGCTCTTTCGCCTGAGGACTGCTTCCTTTAGGAGCGTTTTCCTCGCAGTGGACTTGGATCCTCGAGCAGTAGAGTACGCTGCAGTGTCCAGGGATTCTGCTGAGGGGGCCGGGATGTCAGTGGAGAGGGCTGCATAGCGGTTTGCCAGACTCAGGACATGGGCCACGGCGCAGGATGGCTCCTCGGAATCCGCGGGCTCGTTATTCGGAACCGGGCGCTTAGGTGTAGAACAGGAGGGTCCGGAGCTGACGGATCTCTCCCACACGACAGTGTCACAATATGCAGCGCTCAGTGACATAAGCCGTGAATGCTGCCCACCAGCGACTTCAAAAAGTTTGGATACTAGAGATTGTTTCTCATTCAACTCTGCGGTGAGACGAAGGACTTCTTTTCGTAGTTCTGCAATGGTGGCACGGTCGCTCTCACGGAGCTCCAAGGTGAGGCGACTAATATTGTGCATGTTTGAGCCAATTTCATTGTCACTTTCCATGTCCTCGTTAGCTTGTGTTAGCCTCTGTGCTACTAGTGGGTTTCAGTCGGGACTAAGTGCTATTTGCTGAAACCACTGAATTAAAAAGATAAAACACTCAGATATATTAAAAAACTGAACAATAAAAACGCGCTAAAAAGTTGTTAAAAGTTTACTAAAAAGGTGCACAGAGCAGCCCTGCAGTACTGCTTACTTTGACACACCTGCCTTTCTGAATCTAATGTCAATCTTAAATCTACTGGATGAAATAAATGCTAATAAATGTTCAGTTGTTAGGGTTAGGGTTAATGTTAAGTTGGTCACGAGACACTTTGAGTTGCCTTGTGTATGAATTGTGCCCTGCCTTACTTTTTTCTAGTCTTGGGTCTTTTCTTTATTTTTTCTTTATCTTCCCAAACATAGCTAATTTGAGGGCATTTTGCATGTGGATACCAGTCTGCTCATGCTTCTTTGCCTTTTCTAAAAAGTGCTTCAGATCAGTCATACCTGTCTTGATCCATGCTGGGTCAGATCCTGATGTTTGAAACAAGAGGCATGGAAAGCAAAATAAAGCATTAGCCTCGCTACATGCTGCTAGCCTTGCCTGGCCTGCCAAACGATATGCTTTTTCAAAGACATAGAAGGTTCTTCTTTTGAACAGAAAGGAGGAGTGTCTGGCAGGCCAGGCAACTGCTAGCCAAGATTTGGCGCTGAACCAGGTCCTGGAAAAAGTACGAGTGTACCGTCTCCCCCTGTCGCTGGACTGCTGACTAATGGTAATATTTGGCTGATCAGGTCCAAGCTCTTTAACCTCAACCTTCTCCTGGTATGATCTTTTCTCAAACGGTATTGTTTTGAGTGATCTAACTGAATTATTCTCTTCTTTTTCTCGTTCTCCATTTTGCGTCTCTTTACGTTCGTCTCAAACTTGACCTGTCAATCACTGTAAACGGACGTCACAGACAGTGACAGTACAGGTCGCGGGCGATCCCGCCCCCTCAGGGCGCACTTCTCCTGCGCCCCCAAATCGTCTTATCTCTTGCATTGAAGAGGAGCTACTGCGCATGTACAACTTTTAACGAGAGTCCATAGACGGCTCAGGGCGCAATCTTTTGCGCCCTGAGGCGGAAATACGTCCTCAGTCCGACACAGACAACGCTGATGAGCTTAATCAATCCAACTCAGCATAAACTATAAAGTATTTCTTCCACATCTGAAATAAAACACACATAAATTTCGAAATATTTTAATGTTATTATTTTTTTTTACGTTTTATTCAAGGTAACATGGCAAGTTGTGAGTGGTGGGGCGGCGCCCTAGCGCCCTCTATTGGCCGGCCGCCACTGGTCCGCACTCCCTCCCTCCTCTTTCACTAACTTCCTCCATTAAATTAAATGTTGGTTCAATGCAAACTTCCTCAAATTTAACAGCACTAAAACGGAACTCCTCCTCATTGGCACAAAATTCACCCTAAATAACATCAACATATATTCCATTCCCATTGACAGCCTATTCACTCACACCATAACTACACCATCCTCTGTTCATGCTGTTTTTAGCTTTGCAGTTTAACTTTTTACCTGTTGAAGGAAATGCATTATTATTATTATCATTTTAAAATGAGTATTTCCTTTAATTGAGCTTTAAGAATGTCACCGTCAAATGTCTTACTTTATCCCTGTGTGCCCTCAACACCAGTTGGATGGATACAGAATTTTCACTTCAGGAGTGTCTCAACATGCACTGGGTTTTGTTCATCTAATGGGAAATCCGGATGGTTTGGATTTATTTGAAAACCGTTGAAAAAAATTCACCCAGGATTGAGGCCCAAAGCCATGTGAGGCCCAAAGCCATGTGAGGCCCAAAGCCATGTCGACCAGCACACAACTGGAGTAATTTATAGAGCAGGGACTCTAGCGCCCTCATGTGGGGGAGTTTTTAAACTGCTCCTCACCCATACTATTACATATATGCAGATCATCCCTGTTATAATATAATGGGTGAAAAACAACATAAAACAGAAATGGTTTTGGGTACAGAGAAGTAAAAAGAAGCACAAAAGCAGGTGTTCATAGAGGACATTTAAGAGACAATGAGAAGTAAAGATAGCAAGGTACATCCTAGTTTCTTGAGTTCTGCAGTTGAAGTATTTCTGCGTTTTAGTTTGGTCCTGTATGACGGATCATTACTTGTACACCTCCTCTTCACCTGTGATCTGCTTTTGTGCAGCATGTGGGCTGTGACCGCGTGCTGGGCTCCGACGTCCGGGAGGACCGCTGTAGAGTGTGCGGTGGAGACGGCAGCACTTGTGAGACCGTGGAGGGGCTCTACAACCACTCACTGCCCGAAGAAGGTACAGACACACTCGTCCAACGCAACCCAAAGGCAGGGCTCTGAGAAGGACAATGCAATTATGCCATCACCTGCTTTAATTGTAAAAGAAGTAACCCAAGCTTAGGGAACTACTTTTATAATTAAAGCCGGGATACCTAACTTTTATTCTCGTCATAATCAATTATATTTTGTTTGTCAAACAGAAAGAGTCTTGTAAAAGTGTAAAAGTATGTTTGGAACAAACAAACCGCATCCTATTGCCTTTATTATTGTATCGTTTACAGTAAAAACTGAACTATTAGACGTACTTTCTCGAAAAAGAAAAAAAAATACTTGGACTAGTGATAGAAGCAAGTAGTTTGAAAATGGAGTTAGATGATATGATTTTTTGCTTGCATTTTTTTATTCTTGTGTTTTCAAAGTCAGGTACCCAAGCTTTTGAAAAATCTGTCCGTCAACATTCCACTAGGGCAGTATTTTTCAACCTTTTTTGAGCCAAGGCACACTTTTTTCATAGAAAAAATCTCGTGGCACACCACCAGGAGAAAATGTAAAAATATATACTCTGTAGCCTATAAAGTCATGCTCATCAAAGTGCTTAAATAGACATCCAGGCCTTGACATAGGCCTGGATGGCTTTGTTTAGGCCATCCAGGCCTATGTCTTTGGCTTTGTTTAATATTTCTCAATACAAAAATTTAGCAAGAGTTTGGGAATAACGAGGCACTAACTCTGTGAAGAAAAAAACATTAAAAAAATCCACTCTCAGCTATCCACGCGTCCATGGTTCTGTGCACGCGTCCATGGTTCTGTCCACGAGTCCATGGTTCTGTCCACGAGTCCATGGTTCTGTCCATGGTTCTGTCCACGAGTCCATGGTTCTGTCCACGAGTCCATGGTTCTGTCCACGAGTCCATGGTTCTGTCCATGGTTCTGTCCACGAGTCCATGGTTCTGTCCACGAGTCCATGGTTCTGTCCACGAGTCCATGGTTCTGTCCAGGTTTTTGTCCACGAGTCCATGGTTCTGTCCACGAGTCCATGGTTCTGTCCATGGTTCTGTCCACGAGTCCATGGTTCTGTCCAGATTTTTGTCCACGAGTCCATGGTTCTGGCCACGTGTCTGTCCACACGTCTAAAGTCAGCGCTCGGTACAACGGATGTGCTTCGCTGAGCTGTTGTCAAAGTAGCTGTCAGTACAACGCGGCCACAGCTGCCCCGGGGTCACAGCGGAGGATGTAAATCCTGTTCATAAATGGCATAATTCCTTTTCAATAATGTCTCCATCACTTTCACTTCTCACTCGCTGCAATGCCCCTCCCTACCTTTTACGTTTGTTGGTCGGGTCCAATTCTTGCCTTTCAAAGTACTTAGCTATCTGCTGCCACCTACTGATATGGAAAAGTATTACGTGGTTACTCATGGCACACCAGACAATATACGGCACAGTGGTTGAAAAAACACTGCACCAGGGAGACTTGGATTGCGACTACGTTTTAACATAATATACGATCAAACCAATTTTTTGTAATTTTGAATACAAATTAAAAACATGTTCTTATTTGTGTCTTTTTTTTCTGTGAAGGAAATTAATCCTGGGTTTGATGTCATTACTTTGCACACATCCAGTCAATTTGAAAAGAATCAAATTTGTAGAAAATTCTGAATTAAATTGAATTTAAAGGATAAATAAATGATAAATCGATAGAGCGTAATTCCTGTGAGAATGTTGACATTAAACGGATCCATACATGTGAATGTTACTCCAAAAAGGCTTGCAAATTAAATAATGAAAAGTAAATTGAGAATTTATTAATTTGGGGATTTTTGTGGCACCTGTCACTTGTCACAGCTGGGCGGCATGTAGACAAGAAATGGCATGTACAATTGGCCTATAGACAACAAATGGCGTGTAAAGTAGCAGGAAGACAACCAGCTAGGTTTCAAACAACATGACAAGAGTGAAACATGGTTCATGTATTTCCCCCCTGATTTATGCTTAGTTTACACGTACGCCAGTATTTAAAAAACATAGACTTTTAAATGGATAACTTGCCTCTGAATGCGAGCTTTTAAAAATAAATGCTGAAAAAGCTAATTTTCATCTGTCATCCCTGAGCAGGCAACACATAGAAATACATGTACTGTAAGTGTTGGACTCCCATGTGAGAGATAGCTAGTTCAAAGTTTTTTGGTTTTGGCAATGTTTGTCAAATTATTGTGAGCACATGTAGTGCTACAATAACTTCCCCTTGAAGTTGTCAAAAGTTCCCAATACACTCAACTTACTCCACTCCTGTTATCCGGTTAAAGCGGACATAAACTATTGTGTTTACTGTATGTCTGTTCCAAATCAGTGATATGTGGAGGATCCATCCGCCTCAGTTATTTTTGCTGGAAGAAAATTCTTTGTTATTTAAATGTATTTACATCGCAACTGTTATTCTTGTATTGCCCTAAATCACGACAGCAGTCATCTCAGAGGACTTATGGAGAAACAAAGCCATACATTTGAGCACTTTTCACTTTTTTCGACTAGTGATTACAGGAGAATGAAACAAGCTAGAAACAAACTTATTTTTGCTGCTGAAAGTAGACAGTCCAGTTTTTCAGACTCATATGTTTCACAGTCATAGCTCACAATATTCTGTGAGTCTTGAAATAATAGAAGTCATCAAAAACGGCTGGCAGTCAATGAGTTAAATGTAACAGTGAGTTTTTCAATGTGCAAATAAGGCATCAACAATAGTACAATTGTAAATGGCATTTCACAATATTTATATTCATATTTGTGTGTTAGCTTTGAGTGCAGCTTTGTTTTATTAAGGCTCATACAGGGATAACTTGCTCACAAAGGTACAGTAGATAGATAGAAAAAAACACTTTGGCACTTTCACTGCGCCTCAGCTTAACCATCTCCAGTGTGGTTAGGTCCATGTTTATGTTATTGTTACAGAGAAAGTTTTAAACTAACCATGATACATTCAGTTGAAATGAACAAAACAACTTCCATAACGTGATCCATTCTTAACGACTGCAGTACAGTGTCTTTGTGTTGAATACAGTCAAATGTCCAAAAGTCATCAGGACAAGCGCAGGACCAGTCCACACCTACTCTGTCCAACGCACCAGCAACAGCGCTGATAGTGTCCTCAGCTATTGTGGTATCCAACACAGACACCAACGTCAAAGTTTCAGTAACACCACAAATGAATATGCGACATCAGTAACATCAGTCTCTTATCAACGGCAACAGAAAAAGCCACACAACCTCAACATGATATCTGATATCTGAAATGCAAACCTTGCACAAAGAAAATCGCTCCACATCATTTCAACTCATGTACCATCAATAGCTGTCTGTAGAATTTTGATTAGTCAAATGGTCATCCAATGGGGACTGTACTGTAATGGACACACTCACAGATTATACATGTGCTCCTGTTTACACATACAAAGTCTGATTTGTACTAAACTTTTTTACAAACATTTTTCTATGGCTATGGGAGCAAATAATGGCGCATCAACGCCACCTGCTTTGCGCAGTGCGGCAAGGGCCGCTTTAATCTTGATTTTTCCTGTGGAATTGATTTACTTTTTGTTGAAAAGAACAGCACATTGACTGAACAGACAGTTTGTTGCATTACTAGCAAGACGTTATCAACCCATTAATCAACCTTTAGATTTCCCTAGGTGTATGGAACTGACACAACAAATCAGTCTAATCCCATTATGAGCTCCAAATGTTGTATTAGTGCTCTAGATGTGTCCATAAATGCATGTAATTATTGGATTCACAGTTAAAGCTGCACAAACTGACTTTGGGATTTTGAAGCCGCAGACTCGCTGGCCTCTCTCTTTCTGCTCCCCTCCCCGCACCCACGAAGCTATCGCCCCCCACACACACCCACTGTTGGGACGGAGCTAGCGTCTCCCGATATGGATAATACATGGATATGGATTTGCACGTGGATGGCGTGACCATAAAACGATAGAACCGGGAAGAGCGGAGGAACGAGACTTTCTTTTGGATGGCTGTCTCGCTGTGTAAGCAGTAACCGGTGACGAAGACGAGGAAGTTTCACGTTAGCTCCGCCGCTTGTTGTGCTAACTTAGCCGTCTATGTTAACGGACCTGTAGATTTCTCACAAAAGTGGGGGCCAGTGGTCCGCTGTGATTGGTCACAATCTGCGACCCGAAACACATTCTCTTCCTTGTTTCATCAAAACTCGATCTAAAATATAATGTCACGCCAGCACAAATCTGCGCTACTTTTTCGTCAAAAGGACGTATATCCCAATGCACTGCATGGACATGGATAGCATTTTCATAATGAATACAAAAATAAAGTCAGTTAGTGCAGCTTTAAGTCCCCTTTCAAATGTGTTTCTGAATGGCTTTCAAAAGATCCTATCTTTTAAAGAAAGACCCTCAGTATGTTACAAAACAGAATATTGTTGCAAAATTATAAACAGGCCTGCCCACATAAAGAGGGAAAATGTCTTGAATCAAAGCAGCTGGGGCGAATGAAGTCTGGCAGTGGTCTCCGTCTGGAGGCCTCTGCCCAAGAATGTATCTGGAATCTGTAGCATCCCGTTGACCGCATCGTACTGATGCAACGTAAGGCAGCCCTCTCATTCACATGTGTGTTCTCAGATTTGTATTTGTTTATTATGTGATAGCAGTGATGGGAAAGCTACCTGATTTGTGTAGTGAGCTAAGCTCACTACACAAATCAGGTAGCGGCACGGTGGCTGAGTGGATAGCACTCTTGCCTCTCAGCAAGAAGGTCCTGGGTTCGAATCCCGGTCGGACCAGGGCCTTTCTGAGTGGAGTTTGCATGTTCTCCCCGTGTCTGCGTAGGTTTCCTCCGGGTACTCCGGTTTCCCCTACCACTAAAAATATGTACAATAGTTCTGGCATGCGCCTCCTGTTCGTCAACCCCGCTCCCATCTCTGTGTGGAGTGAGAGACAAGTGCCCAATAAAATAATAACAATTGTAAACCGCTTTGTGACCTTTGTCTGTGAAAGGCGGTATATAAATAAACATTACTTACTTACTTAC